CGACCAAAGAATTGGGCTTTGGGTGTGTGTATAAAAACTCAGCCCCTGATTCCTGGACCTTGTACATGTGATCCAGACGCTTATTAGAGACATTAATGGAGGCTGGACGAGTCCAAAAGTCCTTGGTAGTTTGCAAGAGAACTTTTGTCATTGGTAGAGCCACGGAGGGCGAAGTGTTAGAGTGCATAATGTCAAAAACGTTATCATCCACAAAACTGGCAACGAGAGTAGGAGTCATAGATAGATCTAATGCCATGCGTTGAATAAAATCTCCATAAGACTTAACATCCTCTGATGGAGAAATAGGTAAATCCGCTTCCACATCTTGCGAGGTGGGCTGTGCATCTACATCCTCGATATGTTCAGAAAAGCCATCTGAATCGGAGGATACATTGGATGGTTCTGGAGATGATTCGAGTAATTCAGGTTGAGACGGTGCCGGTGTGTTAATCGGGGGCACAACCGGGTCTGGTGGATGCGTCGGTATCGACTGCTTCGATACCGATGGTCGATCTTGAAAACGCGATATGCGGGATGACACCGACTGACGATCCCATTCAGGTGGGGGTGGTATCGGGAGTGCCCAAGGGTATGGGTATCGATTCCCGTACAAATAATGCCATTGCCTCTCATCCCAAGTCAGGGGAGGAGATGTTGGTCGGTGCCGATCCTCGACTCCACGTTCTGGGGAGGCATGAGAGGATTGACGGCTCGACCAATCAGGTTGCGACTGATTTGTTTGTTGAGTAAGGTCGATGTCGAGATCCGAACCGATCGGGTGAGGTTCTTGCGTGGGATCTCGACCCTGACTAGCCGAAACCTTATGGACTTTTGACTTGTCCGTTTTAGGTTTCTTCGACTGCTGTGAGTCTTTGCCCTGCTTCCGGATCTTGGAAGGTACGGGGTGGTCTTTTATCGGCGTCGAACGTTTCGGTGCCGAAGCATCGATTGCGACCGTCGACGTCGATGTTCCCGGAACGGGAGGACAAGTGTCCGCAGCCAGGGTCGACATCGAGGCGTGTCCGGACGTGTCCAATGGAGAGGAGGACTGAGGGGATAGTGCCTTCTCCATCAAAGCCAAATGCAGACGAGCTGCCCTGTTTTTTCTCGTCTGGTTCGAAAACTTCCGGCAATGTAAGCATTATGCCCTTGATGTCCGGTCTACTCGTCGTGTGGCGTTGGGTCGGTCTATTTTGCAGACGGCGCAGGTGTAGGGCCTCGGCCCCTCCTCCAGGTAAGAGTTATTGCTTGCTATTCTCCCAAGGGTGTGATGCACAGAGACCACGAAGAAGATAGACAGGTTGCTTACCTGTAACTGGTGATCTTCGAGTGGTCATCTGTGCATTCACACCACCCGCCCTCCTTCCCCTCTGCTCTCGGCCCTTCATCTTGTTTCTTTGAAGGCTGTTGGGCGGCGGTCAGAAGGAACTGGCGGGATCTGCGTGCCCCTCCTTGGTCATGCGCAGTGGAGCCGGCGCGTGACCTGGGAGAGGCGCGAAAATCCCTTTTGCTAGCTATCGGTACCGAGAAGGTCAGCGCAGGCGCAGAGTATTCCCAAGGGTGTGATGCACAGAGACCACGAAGATGATCAAGTGTTCCAGACTACATGTCAGTGAGCAAAAGGGGGAGAGGACACGGTTTTTGGCCTTTGAAGGATTCATTGGAGCCAGGCTTGACCAGGGTTGCCAGCTCCAGGTTGGGAAATTTCTGGAGATTTCGTAACGCTCCCGCTAAGCTGTGGAGTCTTGTGAGCAAAAATTCTACTTTGTGAGCTACTGGCATTAAAGTTGTGAGCGAGCGATTTGGCTACTGCATAAATTAAGTTTGCTCTGGAGCCATCCTTCCTGAGCTAAGACAAAAATGTGTGAGCCGGAGGCTAAAAAACTGTGAGCTAGCTCAAACTGACTCAGGTTAGAGGGAACACTGGTGGAGACTGAGGAGGGCAGGGTTTGGGGAGAGGAGAGGCCTCAGCAAGATATACTGCTGTGGAATCCATCCTCCAAAGCAGGCATTTTCTTGAGGGGAAAGATGTCTGCCATCTGGGGTTCAGCTGTAATTCTGGGAAATCTCCATGTCCTACTTGGAAGTTGCTAATAGTAGGCCCGGCACAACCTCTGAGTGACTTCATACCACGACTTGCATGGCTGCTTGCTACTGTTCAACAGCAGCCACCCAATGAAAACCAGTGTGGTATAGCAGTTAGAGCTTCCGTGTAGGGTCTCGGAGACCCAGGTTTGACCATCTTGCTGCATTAAGTTCACTGGGTGACTTTGTACTGGTCACATACTTTCAGTCTAATCTACCTCACAGGGTTGTGGGGATAAAAAGGGAGGAGAGAATAATGCATGCTGTTTTGGTCCACACTGTAGAGAAAGTCAGGGTATAAAATAAATAATACAACTGAAGATCAGAGGCAGGTAAAAGGTGAATGGCTGAGGAAAGAATGAGGCAGGTGGTACTACATAACTGGGCCAGTTTTCCTAGGCAGAGGCTGTTGAGGGGAGGGAGAAGGAAAGCTTAAAACAGCAGGGCAGATAAAAGTAGGTTGGGAAGGATATAGGATTGGCAACTTCCAGTTAAAAAAGATTTGAGAGTAGGGCCTGGGGAGGGTGGGGTGGGACCTTAGAAGGGCATAATTCCATAGCAGTCATTTCCTCCAGGGGAACTAGAATTGCCAACCTTCATGTAGGGGCTGGAGATGACCTGGAATCACAACTGATCTCCAAATGACAGAGATCAGTTCCCATGGAGAAAATGGCTGCTTTTCTATGGTATTATACACTACTGAGGTTGCTTACCTCCCCAAACCTCACCCTCCCAAGGCTCCACCCCCAAACCTCCAGGAATTTCCCAATCTGGAGCTGGCAACCTTAAGCAGAATTGATCTCTAGTTGGGAGATCTGTTGTGATTCCAGGAGATCTCCAGGCCCTACCTGGATGCTGGCAACACTGGTATGGAAGGAAGCAGGAAAAGGGGAGACTACAGGAGCTTTCAGAAAAGAGGAAAGGGGGGGGTTTAAGATGGCTCCTGCAAGTCTTTGCAGGTTTCCACTTGTCATTTGCAATCCTCACACATATGCTACTTCCATTATACGTACATGGTTTCTCCAGGAAGCGGGGGACACCAGAAGTCAGCTAAATAAACCAAGTCTGCTGCAGCAAGCCCCCCAGAAGTGATAACTGTTTTAAGCCACCACACAAGTTACAGTAGATTGAAGAATTATAACAGGAGGTTAAATTGTATACAGGCTGCAGAGGTCTATACAAAGATGCTCTGTATTTGTGCAGCTGCTTCACCACAAGATGGCAAAATATGCAGCACCTAATTCAACAGAGACCCACCTCATTTGTTTTTTTGGACAATTCAATCTTAACTTCCCAAATTTCTGTCCTGCTCAGTACTCAGTACTTCAAAATGTTTTAGATTTTATGGGTGGCTGACTGCAAGGGAAGGGAAGGCTTGTATACTCATATAGTATTTGCTAAGGGCTCATTAAGTTCAAGGCTGCTTAACCCTTCAGCTAATACAATATTTAACATTGCATGAGCTTCAATAGTAACACCACCACCACCATGAAACACCACAGCACCATTACATTAACTACACATAAGCTTACAAAGAATATGAAAGTAACTTGCAAAGTCTCTTTATTATACTTAACAGATTAGCTTTAAATAATTATATACAGAAATAACTTTAATATAAAAATCCAATAAAATGTAAGTAAATTGATTTAAATCTGTATAAAGTGAATTTATAAGACTGTTAGGCTCTACCTTTACCTTCCTAAAATGATATAAAAATAAAACTCTCAATAATCACAGTTTTGATTTAAAGTTTATAAGTACTGGATTTTCATGTCTCAGTACTCAGATGATGCTGAAAGACATCTTCATTGCCACATTTAGCACCACTAAATATTTACACACAAAAAAAACCCTATTTGAAGATGGAAAAAATATATATTTCAGAATTGTGTTCTTGGGTTTTATGGCTTCAAACTTGAGAGCCAGACTTGTTTTCTACCTATTACTCTGTAGCTGACAAGGAAGAGACAATACTTAGAATGGCAAGAGTCTGTCTTTTCAGTATAATGATTTTTGTGTCCTGATCCTATGCATATTTACTTGGAGCTGTGAGACTCATTCTCAAGTAAGTAGGCCTTAGATTAGCCCAGCTCTAGAGATGGCTCAATGAAGTTCTACAGAAGTGCACTCCAGCAACTTTCAGGAAAAGCAGGATCTAAAATAAAGGATTCTGTCAACAGTAAAGCTACATCCCCATTAAAACCTGAACATATTGGCTTGGATCCTCTGGAGTATTTCAGCAGACTAAAGTATTACTGTGCACAGAAGACAACTTTTTCGCCTCCCCCCTTCCCGCTGCAGCAGAGAATGCCCACTTGATCCACTCCAGTGGATCCAAGACATTTGTTTCTCGCTTACAGAACTCAACCCCTCTTCCCCAAAGATATGGTTTTAAAACCCGTGCATTTTGACAGTCAAATCTGAACAGCAACATTTCCACTGGCATCATGGGATGCAGCTCAGTGAACTACTTCTGTGAGCAAAAGCAAAAAAAATTGCATGATTCCTATTGTAATGTATGAAAATAGAGACAGAATTTACATAAAAGGTTAATTCTAGGTCCAATGTGATGGTTCTGTTTAGGGTAACTCAAGAGTTTAACTCTGTCTAGTACCCGTTTGTCTTTTGAATTACAAAGAACAGCAACATACTGAACCAACAGGTATAACCCCTGCTCAGTGCTGAAGCACAGCTCTACAGATGAAATTGAACCTACAATTATAGATTACTGAATTTACTCTTTGCAGTTTGGGATCTTATGCTATTTGGAAATGCTTATTTATGCCATTTAAATAATTGCTTAAAATCCAAACATGCTTCCAACTTCTAATTGTTTATCAGTATACTTTAGAAGGTACCAGATTAACGCATTAATGATAAATTTCAGTATTATCTTTGCCAAGATTATCACTATATAATTATATTAATACTGTTTTGGTAAACATCTTTTAAATGTTGCAAGTTTTTGAGCAGCTAATACCGGTATTTTCCATGAAGCTGGGCACAACTGAGTACTGAAGAAGACTGATTTAAGTTGTTTATGCTTTCTACAGTGCCTAGCTGATTTCAAGTCCTATATGATGATAACATGTAGAAGTGCTGTATACTTTCAGTAATCCATGCTTAAGAGTGGAACGCTATGTAATATTCTGTCAGATACTAACAACCAAAGAGGAAAAAGACAACATACTATATTGTTACCTACTTTCACGGCAGCTTAAATTCAGACTGCTTTCACAGCAGACCAACATGTAGTTTACAAATTGACTAGAGCATCTGTGTGCAGAAAAGCACAATACAAAAGTTTTGCATGTGGTTTGGAACAAACTGGACCTATCAAACCAAAGATGCAATCTTTTTGACATTAGAGAGAAATACCTGTGTAAATGATTAGACTGTGTTAGATTCAAGACTGGAAAATAAAATGAAATTCCTTTCAGCTACAGGAACAATTTGAAAATTTCCATTTTCTATTGTGGAAGTTCAAAGAAAATCAGAAGAGACTACAATTTACAAACTTTAAATCAGAACTGCGTAGCTGGGCTTGAAACCCAATAAATACACTTTCAAAATATTTCCCTTTTAAAAAGTGCAAAACTCCACTTATATATGGCAAAGAGAGGCATCTCTGGACTGGTTCCTGCCAAAAAAGACACTCAGCTTTAAAAAGGAATAGTTATGCAGTTGACATTACCCAACAGAGTTTATTTCAACACCACATTCAGATACATACAGCATATTTGTTGGCAGATTACTGAAATGTGGTATTAATTATTCCTGTTCTTCAGTTTTAGATCTTTGTAGGCAAGCTGCCATTTTATTAGAAAAAGTGATCTTTTGTGAGATGTTCATGAGCATTATTAAATGTGAGGGTTTTTTAAAATAGTTTATTAAGGTGCTAGAAAACATCAAGCTTTCTGTAACACATTTCTTGGAGCCTTTGTATTATTCGCTGCCTGTGGTCTATTGTTAAGCAGTACCCAATAGCATCTTCAGTTTCTTGAATTCGTTTATGGAATCTGCACCCATCACGTGCAAGTTCTTCCCAGGGTCCTTTGCGATCTTCCTCTTTGCTCACGTAATACTCAGTAACTTCTTCTAAGAAAGTCACCTATAATAGATTAGATTAAATCTAATTATGCAAATATTTAGTGCAGCATCTATTTTTATAACGCATCATTTAAAAATATAGAAATAAAACATTAAATATACAGATATTTATCAAGCATACAGATCATTATAGAATCCATGTACAATGTTTGATACAACTTCAAATGTCACCATGGGAACCATGACTTGGGTTCAAAGGCAACAGAAAAACACTTCAAATAAAAAAATACAACTTTGTGCACATACAAAACAATTAGCACATGTAGGTCAAATGACATATTGCATGGTAGCCAAGTTGAATTATCTTGAAATGCATGTGGGAAGCTTCATATAAACACTAAAATCACATCAAAGCTCTTCTTTCCCTTATTGTCAACACAGCTCAAGGCATATTATTCTTAAAAGGTGACTTCTATTGGGGAAAAAAGAGACTAGCCATAAAGAGCCATTCTCTCATTTTGCCACTTCTTCCAGAAACAATATTTATTACTGGTATCCAAAATAAAAGCAACATGCAGAGCAGCTAACCATCCCAGGATTCATTCTTCGTAAGAACATAAAAAGAGCCCTGCTGGATCAGACCAATGGTCCATCCAGTCCAGCATCACCAGCAGGGGGATGAGGGGGTTGGGTTGCCAGATCCAGGTTGGGAATCACTTGGAGATTTCGTGACGGATCCTGGGGAGAACAGGGACCTCAGTGGAGTGCAATGCCATAGAGTTCACCCTCCAAAACATCCATTTTCTGCAGGGAACTGATAATTCCAGGGAATCCCCGGGTCCTACCTGGATGCTGGTATCCCTACGGCTCACACACTGGCCAACCAGTTCCTCTGGAGGGCCAACAAGAGGGCATAGAGGCCGAGGCCTTCCCCTGATGTTGCCTCCTGGCTCTGGGATTCAGAGGATTCTACTGACTTCAGATTTCAAACTCATCCCTGAGCAATGTCAATATAATCTGAGGACCACATGAAAACAAACTTAGTATGTACTTTAATCTTTGCACACAGAGGGAGTGTGAAGCCCATAGTCATCTTCTGATAAATGGCATGTATATCATGCTTGACAGTACAAGCTGGCAAATTGAAAGCCATTTTACAGCCAGAAATTCTGAGTTTCACAGGGAACTACACTAATCAACACTGCTTTCCTCAGACAGGTTCTTCCACAATGAACACAAATACTCTTACATATTAAACATATGTAGGAGCACTTATAATATTACATATTAAAGCACATTAGGACCTACTTACAACCCACTTGTATTTTGTATTATTGCATCCCTTAAATTAAAACATATAACTACCTCCACACAAGCACACTACATAGTTACATCAGCCTCTCCCTCTCTGCTTTATCCCTTTCGTACCTTTTACATCATTCTAAAATGCTCTCTAGGGTGCCATTACCTGGTCATGTAATATTATGCTATATATTGCATACAGATCTGTGTTAATTTACCGTGTCACTAGAAAGACATGCACAAGGGATTTGAAATTTGTTTTTAGAAAAGTCACTACAAGTGATTTACAGGGAAGGTGAAGCTAAAATGTATAATTTTATGGCCCAAGAGACTTTAGAAATCCCATGCCTTAAAAGCAGCAAGACAACAATCCATGAAAATCTAGATACGATGTATTGCTATGCATGTCACTGTATAACAATTATTATTTCCAATTTAAAGGAAGTGACAAATCCTTCAACTCAGAAAGCACGCACAAAAATTAATATATAACTAAAATCAGGTTGCACTTCAGAACTTGGTCATGGTCACATGGTATTCTTTAAGTCAGACGTATCTCAGTGCTTTGTGATCTTTGTGTAATACATCCACACGTTCTATCAGCATATCAACCTTCACACTTGCTTCTATGACTTTTAGTTATTTGGAAAAATTTTATGCCTCCTCTCCAGGGTACCTGTCTGAGAAAACATTATAATACAGACCCCCTCAAAAGAAGTGAGGATAAAACAGAAGTATTGATAGTACAAGACAAGCAATAACATGGAATTGCTCTGAAAGGCATATGCTATTTCATGGGATAGCACAGTAGTACTCAATGATGCTTCAGACTCAGGGCTTTATTTGCAAGTAGATTTACAGTACAGTCTTAGAAATTGCATTCTTCTACACTCACTGACTACAATGGATTTAGAAAGGTGTTCTGGAGTGCTTTGTCAGTGCTCCAAATACTTGCAAGCCATAAAGATGCTGTTTGGGGTCACTAGTAGTCCAAAGCATGATGAGGGTCTAGAAGGAACAGGCTGTTGCACACCCCCAGACTCCCACGCTAGTTGGTACCACTTTCAGCATAAGGTCATCAGCCATGGTGGATGGGGGTGGTCAGCCAAAGTAGATGAATTGACACAACTGTCCTTGCAGAACTTGATACAAGGTTAGATGAAAAGGATGGTGCCTGGTGCTTCTGAGAGCCAAGCATTTCATGCCTCAGAAATCAACAGGATATGACAAAATGACTGGACACCCTGAAAGGCAAGTAGTTAGCTCAACAATATGTTAGCAGACATCAGATTTTTGTGAACAAACCTGTAGCCCTCATGAACAAACTTTCCATTCTGATTATTTTGGTATTATATTGCAAAAAGTTTCTGTATATCTATATATTACAAGAAATAAGTGTACTGTGTTTCACACCCAGTATATATAATTGCTCTTAAACATGATTTCTCACTGCATACTGGAAATGGAGGAGACACATGCCCACATTATGTTTTATATGTTTCTTCCCAGTGCCAATATTAATAATCAGTGTCAGAAAAGGAATACATAAAACAGATCTGTGCAAGTTAACCAGGCCCTACAATTGTCATCTAGATCACCAGGAGGTACATAATCATAAATTCACCATTTAGTACCTTACATTTTTCAGTGTGCTGTAAAGAAATGTTGCACTAGGCATTCACATGTTTCAACATTACTGGATAACTAAATAATTTAGGTTGCCATTGTATCTTATCCCAGGAATCTTACCAGGAACAGAAAAGCATCTGTTTACCTTTATTCTATGCTGCCCTGAGTGGCCATTAGACCATGCAGGAAGATACAAATATAGTACATGCATATTTAAACGATATCTCACACATAATGAAATACAAATGAGTACTACCCATACCTTTTTTTTCTTCTTCATGTACTTTTCTCTAGAAAAGATCCCATGCTTCACAGTTTCCTTCATCTCAGGCTCACAGTTATCAAGCACATGCACTTGACAACTAAGATAGATACTCTGTTGAGAAAGGCCAAGGCACGTCCCAGCTGGTCCTTTTAAGCCATGTTTCACTTTTTTTCCTGCAGTCTGAAACTGTGCCTTGAAGTTGAGAGGATTATAAGGATCTTCCAAATTACAGAATGAGTTCCACAGCTTCAAGTTTTCAGATTCATCTAGGCCACTGCTATTCCAGTCATCCTCCTCCCCTGAACTTTCCGTCCAAGAGGAAGAATCCTCTGCATCCTCTACCCTATTTGGCTCAGCAGGAGATTCTTTTTCGGCTTCGTTCCCAGCAGTCTGAATAACAGCTGTGAAGTTCTGAGGGTTGTAAGGATCTAGGCTACAAAAGGAGTTCCACAATTGCGTATTCTCCTCCTCCTGGCTGGTCGTATCAGATTCCGAAAGGGAGCCTTCGCTATCAAACCCATCATCATTCTCCTCGTCCCCATCCCAGTTCTCCTCCTCCCCCTCCTCGCTTTCCTCCCCGCTGCAGGCGCCCCCCAGAATGTAATCTATCAGTTTATTAGCACACACCGGTCTGGCCTCCACCGACAATGACTCTTGGTCTAAGTCAAAGTCCCCATCGGGGATGGATTTGGCCTCGGCTCCCGCCTCCTCGCAGGGATCCCCCGCAGCGGGAGGCTCAGGCGTGTTTCCGGGGTCCGGCCTCTTTAGCTCTGGTTCACCATGATCCACCGACGGCCCCGCATGCTCTCCCAGTGCCCACGACTCCCGCTGCTGCTGCTGTTCTTCCTCCAAGCTATGGTAGCCATAATCAGGATCCGGCGCATCCAGACCCGCCTTGCTGCCCCGCAGCTGCACCTGCCGCAAAATCTCGGGCAGTTTAGAGCAGATGTGATGGGCCTCGGGCGGCCGCTCCCAAAGGGCACTCAAGGGCCGCGGAAGCGGGTTCTCGTCGCCGCCACCTAGCACGAAGGAGGAGGAAGAAACCAGGCCGAAGTGGTGCTTGACAAGAAGCGGGGCTAGCTCGGCAGCCCCCCACACGGGCAAGGCAGGCTCGGGGTCGGTCGCGTGGGCCTCGGCCTTCAACAGGAGGACAGAAGTGGGCGGGCTGGGCAGGACACGCTGCAGCAGCTGCGAGAAGAGCCGCAGCCACGAAAACGGGGCGTCAGGCTGGGGCTGCGGCAAGGAGGACGGACGAGAGCCGAGCGGAGAGCTCGCCGGCTCCCGCTCCCTGCTCGGCTCCATGGCGGCCTGGGTCTTACCTCAGCCGATTCTTCCCGCCCGTGAGGTTTCTGGGCTTCGTAAGGATCCGGTGACCTCCTCCCAGGATGGACCACGCCATGTTCCAGCGAAGGCAAGACGGTCGCCTCACAGCCCAAGGCGGCTTGTTAAATCAGGAGAAACAAAATGGCGCTGGCCCCACAGCTCAACGGCTGAGTCGCGGGGGGTGCGAGGCCCCGCGCACAGTCCACGAGCACGCAGGCGCCCCATCGGTCCCGCTGACAGGAAAGGAAGCCCGCTCTTTGCCTTTTACCAAAAAGGGAAAATTAAAGAGCAGGCGGTGCTTCTACTAACATCCGGGCAATGCAGCCCGGAGTCGACGGCACCTTATTGGTTCCCTGCCGAAGGGCGGCCACGCCTGCAGAGGGACCTTTGGTGATGGGCGACGCCTCAGCGTGCCGGTTGCATCAGCCATTTTTCAAGGATTCCGATATTTTATTCCAGTTTTATTGAAGGCTGATAGAAATAGAAACACTGTTCAAGCAGATTTACAGTGAAACAGCCCTTTAAACGGGGTAATAATGACGATAGTTACACACGCTAAGGAGTCCGTAAGGAACGGGGGGGGGGGATTCCAAATCCCCCAACTCTCAGATTTTTCAGAAGCTCAAAGGGATTTTTCCCTCCCTTTCTCTTTTCCCCTGTCTCCTTCTAGCAGGCAAAGGAAGTGGGGACGAGAACACCTTGTGTAGAAAAGTGTAATACCTTTGCAGGGAGGGGCCGTGACTCAGTATGGAGCAAATGTTTGCTATGCAGTAGTGTATTTGCCATGCATTCCCAGGTTCAGTCACCAGCATGCGGTAGAGAGTGCGAACCTTGACGGTCTCATTCAGTATAAGGCAGCTTCGTGTACGGGTGTGTGCTGAGAGGCACAAGGGTGAGACCCTACTAATAGTGATTAGATAATGGTAACCATGGCACCAAACATCTGTGCGGGGGGGGAGCTTTTAGGAGGAAGTCTTCCACATGCATGGAATCAGGCTACATAGCTTAAATCTTTTAATCATGGCTCTAGCGACTGTCCCACTGAATTCAATGATTCCTAGCATTACAAAAACAGGAAAAGTGTGATTATAAATGGAGCATATTAATGCATATTATTTTGTATAAATTCTGTAAATAGTCTAATTTCATAACTATTTCTTACATGCCAGTTAACTGATAATGTAGTTTGACATTGCCACCAAGTAATCCTTCAGATAGGAAGGAGCTCTCAGGAACAGAAATGAATGCAAAGTTTGGTTCTCTCTCTAATGTCTCCACTAATGAGACTGAACTACTAAGTACACACTCTGCTTCCTCATTAAGCAGCCTAAGAAGTTTTAGACAAGCTGCACTTTTCTATCTGAACATGCATACACTTTTGGCGCCCTTTATCTAAGAGTGACAGACTGGTATCAGTACAGACCTAAGTCAATGAATTTCTGCACCAGCTGTTATACTAGTGCGCAAATTAATTTGAATTAATGTGAAGGAATAATGCCACCGTTTATGTGCACTTATAGGATGCAGTGCATATTTGCAAGGCCAGCTTTATATGAAGCAACTGATTCAGGCAGAAATTCCAGAGAGAGTGCTGTTTTCTTGCCTCTCATCTTCACCTGGGCATCTTTTAAGTCAATTTATAACAAACATTTTTAACTATACCTACTACAATCAAATCTGTCAAGGAAAATCAGTACAGCTGTGTTAAAGTATGAAAACTATAATATTACTACAATCAAATCTGTCAAGCTATACTTACTAAAATCAAATCTGTCAGCTGTGTTAAAGTATGAAAACTATAATATTCAAGTTAACAAGGCCAAATGTTTTCCTTTTTAATATGCCTCACATTGTGTGTGTCAGGTTGTCACAGGCTTATTTTATGAGTTATGGGGCTGCATGTGTTTTAACACACTAGTAATTAGGAAATTCTACTGAACTGGTTTAATGTTAAGCATCCTGCTTAAACTGATGACATGATAACATACAGTCAGCATACAGTAATTCAGGGTTAATGCATTTTGAAGTATTTGTGATAATGACAGGAAGACTGAGAAAACCTGGTTCTGTTATTGTATACATGCCTCAAAAGTATGTGCATCAAAAGTGGTAGGCTGCAGTCACACGTGCCAGTTGAAGCGGAGGGGAAGCAAGGCTACTTCCTCTGGAGGAATTTGACATGCAGTTGCGAGATCACATGGCCCTTTGTAGTTGTGGGCAGAGCCCATCACTGTCTGATCAGACGCAACTGCGGGTGGGTGGTTCCCCCCCCCCATTTGTTTCCCATGTACTTAAATGAGGAATTGCACCTCTGCACTGAGGGCTCCCTGTGGAGTATGTGATGATGCACATACTGCAAAGGGGGGGGGAGAAGGGCACCAAGACGGGATGGAATGATTAGACCATCCTGATGGCATGAGTGCATGTTTGCATGATCAGAGAGGGGAAAGTCCATCCGTGGCCCGTCAGAATCCATCAAAGCCAAACTTTCCATAGTGTCGTTTAACTCTGCTTCTGTGGCAGAGCAGCACGGATCAACGACTCTGGCACACTTCCCAGATGTCTGACTGCACCCTTTAGTTCCATCAGGCATTCACACCTATGTCAGATCTAAAGGCGTGTGTGAACGCAGCCTGGTTCTGCTTAAACTCTGGCTCAAGGGCCACTCCTTGCATTGAGGAAGTGATCATTCTTGCTCCCTTTTTCCTTCTACTAAGTCATAGCTTCTCTGTCTTAAAGGTACTGGCAGTTCTAATATACAGGCTGGTTCACAAACCATTTGACCCTTAATTGGCAACTCTTGGCTTCAGGCCCTCAGAGTCCATTTGAACAAGACATTTTTAAATGTTGATGTTTTCAGGGAACAGTGCTTTCAGCACAGTGACCAGTCTTGGAGATAGGTTTGTCTTGAAAAAATATTGCAACACAGGTTGAGCCAGTGACATTCTTCATGGTGACAACCATGCCCATAGAGTGGGGAATTAATTCTAGAGTTTCATCTATCTGCACACATTTATATCCGTACAACATGCAGGCCAGTGCCTTTTCAAAGAGGAGTCATTTGAATTTTGCATGTTATGGCACTGCTAGATGTTTCCAGATGGATTCAGAGTAGATGCTCGCAAACCAACTTTCTCTTAATCCATTGTAGCATGACCAGACATCCCCCTGGTGAATTGCCTTACCGTGCACTGCCTCAATTGTGCATTGTCTAGTTAGCGTCCACTGAAGGAGGCGCGCATGGTGGGGTTTTTTTTAATTGCACATGTGCATAGGCATCACAGCACGTCCTTGTTGAAGGAGGCGCATGGTGGGTTTTTTAAAAGAAAACTTTTTGTGCATGCACATAGGTGTGACTTGTTGATCCACGCATGAGTAGAGATTTTTTTTAATGGCGCTCGCTTGGGATGGTCTGATGTCAGACCACCCCGACAGGAGGATTGTGCACCCAGATATTTGTGTCTGGACATTACCTTTAGATCCATGAGGCAATCGTGCCTCGCACAGCTCTAAAGAGCCGTCTGATCGGACTCTTAGGAAAGAGATGTGCTTACATAAATGCTTGCTCCCCCTTTGCTCAGTGTGTACATTGATATGATACAAACTCCCTGTTTAGGTATGAAAGCCCTGCTTTTCTCACCAATGGAGAACCAAAGGGGCTTCCTGCATCGTTCTCTTCTTTTCCAGCTTATCTTCACAACACCCACCCTATGAAGCAGGTCAAGCTGGGAGAGAGTGAGCAGACACCAAGAGAACTTCTATGGCAGAGTGGGGGTTCACACCAGGGTTGCCCAGATTCTAGTCCAATATTCCAGTTGGAGAACCGCACTCAAAGAATAGTTGTCAGTGGCATTTCATCTGCATGGAGGGAGGTGTCCAGTGGGGTGCCACAGGGCTTGGTTCTGGGCCCGGTAAAAAGGTAAAGGTAAAGGTTCCCTTGCTCGAAAGCCAGCCGAATCCGACTCTAGGGTTGCGGTGCTCATCTCCGTTTCAAAGCCAAAGAGCCAGCGCTGTTTGAAGACATTTCCATGGTCATGTGGCCGGCATGAATAAACACCAAGGCGCCCGGAACGCCTGGTACTTTCCAATATTTTTTATAAATGATCTGGATGAGGGGGTGGAGGGGCTACCCATTAGATCTGCAGATGACACCAAATTGGGAGGAGCAGCGAACACACCAGAAGACAGAGATAGAATTCAGTGGGATCTGAAGACACAGGAAAAGTGGGTGGATGTGAACAAGATCTAATTTAACAAGGATAAGTGCTGAGTTCTACATCTGGGTAACAAAAATGAGGGACATGCATACTGGATGGGGGATAAACTTCTGGGTAGCAGTGTGTTTGAACAAGATACTGGGGTAAGGGTGGACCGAAAGTTAAATATAAGCAGTCAGTGTGATGCAGTGACAAAAAACACAAATGTGATCTGGAGGCCAATCAATAGAGGCTAACATCCGAATCACAGGATATCATAGTCCTGCTGTACAGTGCATTGGAGAAGAATGTTAAGCTAAAGCATGGGTGAAATTTCCTGCTTCCAACTCCGAAGCAAAGGAAGGGAAGAAGGGAGGGAAGGAGAGAGGAAGGTAGAATGCCTATGTGACTTTAATTTTTATTTTTATGCATTGGTGACATTCCGTGTACTAACCAATAGGTGATAACACAACAGGCTAGCTCCTAAACTTTTTATCTGATACAAGCTGAAATGCCCAAACCCTTCTGAATGGATTGTTCAAGAGCTTGCCTAAGGATATAAAATCTGTATGTGCTTGGAAGCGATGAAAAAGCCCCACCAATTTTCTTCCCACTGCTCCATTGTGGGTTTTTTTTTTCTTTTTCTCTTTGCTTCAGTAGGTGCAGCCCTTTGTTTTCTTCTCTACGTGTTCTGAGGGCAACAATTACGAATGGAAATCACTTCATCCACTCCTAAAATACTATGTCTTTCTGCAACAAACAGAACACAACATAGAAATATGGCCGCATAGCCAGTGTGGCATATTGGTTAAGAGTGGCAAACTCTGATCTGGAGAACCAGGTTCGATTCCCTACTCCTCCACCAGAAGCCTGCTAGGTGAGCTTGGGCCAGTCACCATTCTCTCACAGCTCTCTCAGCCCCACCTACTTCACAAGGTGCCTGTTGTGGGGAGAGGAAGGGAAGGCGATTGTAAGCCACTTTGAGACTCCTTAGGGTAGAGAAAAGTGAGTTATAAAAACCAACTCTACTTATTCTACCCCACTAGTTCTTCCATGGCACATCTTCTAAGAACAAGCAAGGATCCCTCATTGGTCATCAGACAACA